CGAAGATGAGTACTCCACAACTGAAGAAATAATTGAAATTACTCAAACTAAAACAAATGAAACTACCTTCTCAGCCCCTAAAAGACACAAAAACTTCAATCGCAAAAGTCCGTAATTAACCAGCATCAAAAACCTAAATAGTCTCACCTTACTCCTAGCTTACATGCATAGTCAAAATTCACCAAATGCCAGCATTAAATCTTTCCATCAAGTAGCATACAAACTAAACTTAACAAATCTCCCCTTCGATCTATTTAACATCCACCTAAAAGAAGCTACAAAGACAAAGTAAACTAAAACTAAAACTAAAACTAAAACTAAAACTAAAACTACCAACCACCCGGCCCCAATAATGGAAGGACTAAATATATTTAAATGGAACGCCAACGGACTAACCTCCCACGGCCATGAACTAAAAACTAAATCTAGACAAGATAAAGGCCCACACATTGCTTGCATTCCGGAAACTAAATTCTCAAAAAAATCCAAATTCACACTACCAAACTATAACTCAGTTAGAACAGACCGAGCCAAAACCAAAACAGGTAGGCCGCGGGAGGCCTAATAATATATATGAGGGAAGATATAAACTACGAAGAAATAAAGGTAAACACGCCAAACCTAGAAGCAAACGGCATTCAAATCACAATAAACAACAACAAGATAAACATCATAAATATATACCATTGGGTAGAACAAAAAGTCCAACCTGAGGATCTAAATAAGCTTCTCCAAATAAGCAACAAATCCACTATATTCCTAGGAGACTTCAACGCTCACCATCGTTCCTGGAGCATAGATGACAAAATAGATAATCATGGCAAACTAATTTCCGAATGGATAGAACAAAACGACCTAGTACTCCTAAATAACAACCAACCCACAAGGTACGATAAAATTAACCAAACAATGTCGGCTATCGACCTAACTATACGCACCGCAGATCTAGCACAAAGTACTCAATGGGAAGTACACGATGTCTCACTAGGTAGTGACCACTTCCGCATAAACATAACCATAGGAGATACAAACGTAACAATCCAAACAGAAAATCAAGAACCGAAATTCCGTTATAACCAAGCTAACTGGGACCAATTTCAAGAAATCTGCAATCAGGCTAACTTAAACGAACTGGAAAATAATGATCCAGAAATCTACTGCCAAAACCTATCAGACTACATAATAAACCATCCTCCATCCTCCATCCTCCATCCCATTTAAAACAATCAAAACAGGCAAACCTTCGGTACCATTGTGGAACGAAGAAATAGAACAAACTAGACGAAAACGTAAAACAGCCTTCAATAAAGCCAAACGCGACTATAAACATCTAAAAATAGCTCACGAACTAAACCACCAAGTTCAAAGTCTAATCAAAACAGCTAAAACTAGAGACTGGAACAAATTCTGTGAAGAAATAAAAAACCGTACAGACGCCAGAACAGTCTGACGCAAAATCCACGCCATTAGAGGCTTAAAACGCCATAAAAAAACCTAACATAAACAACTCAACAAATCCCACCGAAAAGGCAAATAACCTCGCCAACCACATTTCGTCCGTAAGCAGTAACAGCAACTTTAGCCCAAAATTTCAAGATAAACTTAAAACAGAGAACAAAACCACCAAAGAACCAAATAATGATAACCTAGAAATAAACCTCCCTTACACAATGGAGGAGCTACTCTACGTCATCCAAAATAGGAAAAAGGGAACAGCCCGAGGATTGGACCTAACTTCCTACCAAATAATAACCCACCCCCACCCCTAAACTACTCCAGGCTCTACTTACGCTATATACAATGTCATATATCAAAACGGACAGGTACCCACTCTCTGGAAACAGGCCTTAGTTATACCAATCCCTAAACCAAATAAACCAGCAAATCAGGCTAACTCCTACAGACCAATTTCCTTAACTTCAAACTTATGTAAAGTAATGGAATCTATGGCTAAAACAGACTACAACATTACTTAACTCAAAATAACATCATAAACCCAGATCAGAGCGGTTTCATTCCTGGCCGCTCAACCTTAGATAACCTCGCCTGATTAGAGCAGGAAATTAAAACAGGCCAACTTAACAAACAATATACAACAGACATCTTCTTAGACTACTCAAAAGCATTCGACATGGTGTATGGCATAACGGGCTAATACAAACATTACAAAACATAAGACTCAAAGGTCAAATGATAAATTACATCCAGGACTTCCTAAACAATCGTAAAATAACCGTGTGTACAGACCAAACACTATCGGACCAATGTCCCCTAGAAAATGACACTCCCCAAGGCAGTATCCTCAGCCCCACACTCTTCAATATACTGATAAACGATCTATTCGAGGGCCTATCCCCTAAAATAAACACATCTAAATTCGCGGATGATGGAGCCCTCTGGATCCGCACTAAAAGCATTAAAATGGCCCAAAATTTACTTTTAAAATCTCTAAATAAAATACAGCAATGGGCTGACAAATGGGGCTTCTCCCTTAACTCGGAAAAAACAACAGGAATAGTATTTAAACACAAAAACATGAAACCCGCCTCCCCAAACCTCCAGCTAAACAACAAACCAATCAAATTTAAAAACCAAACCAAATTTTTAGGATAAAATTTTCGATGAACATCTCTCCTGGGACGCTCACATTAAAAACCTAATAACCAAATGCAGCAAAGATCTAAATACGCTAAGATGCCTAACTGGCTCAAACTGGGGGGTCTCCAAAGAAACCCTCCTCTCACTCTACATATCACTAATGAGATCAAAACTGTAATCAATCAAATACTTCACCCCAAAACTTAAAATACCTAAAATAGACATAACACTACCCAGTACAATAAATAAACAAACCGACCCAAACGTCGCTAAAACCACCACACTAGCATCCATGCAGGAAAATTGGCCAAATTGGTGTCACATTTACACAGACGGATCCTCAGATCCGATCTCCAAACACACAGGTTTCGGAGTCCACATCGCACAAGCAAATAAAACCACACAATCCTACCGACTCCCAAACAATCAGTCAATATTCACGGCCGAACTTAGGGGCATGGCCTCAGCCCTTCACAATCAGCATTCTAAACAACACCAAAAAATCCTAATCCTTACCGACTCCCTCAGTTGACTGCAAGCCCTCCAAAATAAAAACACCCAAAACTCGCCCCAAATAAATAAATCAGTTACTCAAAAGCTCCAACGACTTAACTAAGGCAGGCAAACAAATAGAATTAATTTGGATCCCCGCCCACGTTGGAATCTACGGCAATGAAAACGCCGATAAAGCAGCAAAATTATCCCTTAAAATCCCCGAAATAAGCTTAAACTTCTCAAAATCAGAAATTGGAAGTGTAACCAAACAAAAAATCTTCAAAATGAAAATATATATACCAAAACTCAAATAGCCAAATCAGGAAAGTTCTCAAAAACCCCTAACTAAACCAAAAATACTACACCTATCCAAAAAAATCTACAGAATTATCACTTAACTACAAACAGGCCACACCAAACTAAATAACCACCTAAATAAAATTAAACGACACGCAACAGGATCATGCCCACACTGCACCCAGCAAGAAACCCCAGAACACGCTCTTATACACTGCGCCCCGTGAAGATTCCGGGGTAGAATAGGTCTTCAGCAACCCATGCTTGCCGTAAAAAGCGACTATGCTTGTCGTAAAAGGAGACTAACGGGTCAGGCTCGCTGACTTGGTTGATGCATGTCATCGATCCCAATTACGTGGATCGATGCTCATGATATAAATCAATGGATTGTCTGGTCCAGACTCGATTATTTACAGACCGCCGTCGTATAGCTGTAATATTGCTGAGTGCGGCGTTAAACAACAAACCAACCCAAATAATCTTATACACTGCACTCAATACCAGAAACATAAAACAACCCTACAAACCACACTAAACCTACAGCAAGGACTAACTCTAGATAAAATCCTCAACCCATTAAATAACTTAACGCATTTCAAAACTGTAGGCGTATACCTACTTAAAACAGATCTACTAAACCGTATCTCAAACAACATAAACAAACAACCCTAAACCCAACACGGCTTCCGTAGTCCCCCCCCCCCCCCCCCTCGGCATCCATTCCAAATCTCAACATCTCAAAATTACAATCATAAGCAACCCATAAATCCCAACTTCTGGTGGTTTCACACACCCTTTTTCATTCCCTTTTTCGAACTTCACTAAATGGCCTGGCGGGCCCGTGTGCGAAATACGCTCTCAGTCGGAAAGCGCACGTAAAATCTCTAATGTAAGTAAGTAATACCGCATTATTTACAACTATCTCGGATCTATACAGTAAATGTGCTGTACAATTACGGAGGAACCTCATTAACTCAAACTTCATTAAAACCATGTCTGTTAAGAGATTGAAACATCATGTCCCCGTGTGAAAACTTTATGTACGGCGGGATCTATTTAACCACCTTATATCGAAGCCGGATGAGCCGATATATCGGATAAGTCGTTGTGTTTTACAATTTCACGGCAACAAAGTATTTTGAAGTCATTGAGCGGAATTATCAAACTATTTCGTCTGGTATGTATACCATATTGGCACTAAATACAGGCCAAATGAATAAAATACAAGGAGCATTGACTTCAAACACAACAATAAACAATGCAAAACCATTATACAGAGATTTTATTTCTTTATAACAGAAATACAATGCATTTGTACAAATAATCTTTCAACCGATCAAAATGACCAAAAACATGTATTGTTTTGTATGTGATATTAATGTTCTTCGTGGGAAATAGGTGAGGTGAGGTGAAATGGGGTTTAACATCGCGTCCAAGATTATTGCACTTATATAGCGACGTGCATGCACGTGTATGTGTGTGTGGCTGCTTGTACTAGTCCGGACTGATGCCGATTTATAGTGCTAGCACACTAAGATACCATGCCGCAGTTTAACATACCCCACTCAGACACAGTATACTGACTCCGAGCCGACCAGTCCTTGTTTTAGCCCCTTAATGCCGAGCGCCAGACAGGGTAACAACAAGTACCATCTTTTAACGTCTTTTGGTATGACGCGGCTAGGGATCGAACCCCGGACCTTCTGCTCTCCGGGCAGACGCTTCGAGGGAAATAACCACGGCAAAGAATAAATTACTGTTTTAATAATAATGAAACAAGTGATACTTCAGATTGCCTCCTTGCAGGAATAGAACACCGGGTGATTATATCAGAGGACAGTCACAGCACAATTACAAATACCACTGATTTCAAGGATAATCAACATTAGCACAGCAATATATCACCTGACACTCATAGTATGCTAGCTGCCATGTCAAGGCAGATGCGTGTTGTTGGAATTCTAAATGTTTGTGTAGTTATTGTTTGGCATACAGCTACTTTTACGTGTATACAAAATACAAAATGTGCTTAAATATTTTCATAATTTGTAAACATAAAGAGTGAGTGAGTTGGGTTTTTAACGCCGCTTTGAACAATATTCCAGTTATATCACGGCGTGTGAGCTTGATGTGGGAGGAAAGCCCAAAGTGATGCAGGTCTTAAACGTTTACCACTTTGGTTAAACCCACGAGCACGGGTATGGTGCTGACAAACCTAGAAACATAATCGGGGCGGACCCGGATTCGAATCAACAAGCATAGGGTTCTGGTGTGCCCAAGGTATGCAACTCTGCACAGCGAATCGCTGCCAATCAGGGGGAACCGGGTTTAGACCCCATGATCATAGGTTTCTAGCTTGCCCAAGGGACAAAACTCTGCACATCTACGCTCGTAAAAGTGGCTCCAAAGACGACATGGCCACCCGTGCCCCCAATATGCATAAAGAAATATAAACTAAGTAAACAGTTAAAAATCACGTAAAGGGAACCGTATCGTCTTGCAACGGTAAATTGACGCACTAACGTCATACAATAAGTGCTATTAAAGGATTCATGGTCGCACGTTGACCTGTCCGTCATTTGTTTCGGTGTCCGTCATTTGTCAATCTCATTAAAATCAGATCTTAGTTCTCGCTATCGCTAAACAAAGATGTGAGGACATCCCATTACGGGTCACGTCAGAAAGACCTTTCATCCGACCAATCAAAGCGTCGCTTACCAGATCATGAAGTGACAGTCGAAATTGGTTTTCCAATCATGCAACCTCGAAAACGTTAACACGGGGTATTCCGAACGACAGTTACGGCCCGTACGACTGATTCCGCCATAATTATCGTCTATCTCTCGCTTCCAGTGATAAACATTTGAACGGAGGAGGCGTTGCACAGTACGTGGGAAGCAGTGCAATACAATCGTAACCACATATTAGAAATTCCGGAATGTTGGTTTGTTCAGTTTTCAATATTTTAATCGAGAACTGTATCAACATAATTTTCAAGTGTAGTCTGAAATGGAAATCGCCAGGTTGAAACGAATGCCCTGAAGCTCCAGTCATTGAGTCTTTTAGTCATTTCAGTGATCGGTCAAAGTTAGCGAAAGGTAGTTCTGACGTGACCCGTAATTGGATGTCCTCCGATATTTGTTTAACGGCAGCGAGAACTTAGATCTGATTTTAATGAGATTGGTCATTTGTAGGTAAAGATTTCTGACCGACGCCCCGCGCGACATGCCAGCTGACATGCATGTGCAGACATAGCGACATTATCGATTTATTAATGTCTATCAAGTTAATGTCAAACAATGAATTCATGTTCAAGTATATGAAAGTGTAAATCTTAAATGTGTATCTCTGTCAAACCAGATTGCAACATTTTACATTTACACACGGAACCAAAGTTATCGTATTTCTGTTCACTTAAATTAACTGTATGTATAAAACAAATACTGTATGCTTGTACTTGTCTGAGGTAGACACGGCCAGAGTAACAGGGAGGCAGTCGACTAACGGTCCCCACCCCCGGTCACACTCTATGGTCGATGCTTTCCAGTTTCCCCAAATTAAAGGCACTGTCTTCAGATGTATTTATGTCTTATGTTTGAGCCCATATGGTCAGTTTGTGACCTTGTTACACCACTACTGCCATGACTAAGCATTGCCACGTAATACTATTAACATGACTTTGTTAATAATAATGCCAAACATTTTTGTCCGATCTCTCTGTTTTTCTATTATTTTGTGTGGTTTGATCAAGTCTCCTGTATGTCTGCCCTTCTCGTATGTTTCCCTCCTGCTTCATCTGGTCCATCTCAGCTCTGAAAGATTTCAAGGTCGAGTCGAGCTGCTGCCCCTTGTCCTTCACCACCTTCTCAAGTCGACTTGTCGCACGCTTCTGGGACTCCAGGTCCTTCTGCTGCCGCTGTAACTGGTTGTCCTGTGTTTGAATACGTTCTGCTTGGTGTCCAATGACACTTGCCTGATCATTCAGGCGCTTGCTCTGATCTTGCATTGCCAGCTTCCGCTCATCAGCATCCCTTTGTAGTGATGCTATCCTACCATGTTGTGAATGTAACGTCTTCTGCTGCTGCTCAAGCTTCTCATCCTGCTCTCGAATCACCTTATTTTGTTTCTTGAGTGTCAGCTTTTGTTGGTCATTCTCTAACACCAACGCTCCAATTTGTTGTGTTTGCTTAGAGACATTTTTTTCAAGCTGTTCTATATTAAGCCCTTGTTTTGAAATTAGATCGACTTGGCGTTCTACTGATGAGCCTAATTGTTCTATAGTTTTCGCCTGTTCGCTTATGATCGATTCCGATTTTTCAATTATTATTTTCTGCTGCGTAATCTCATTCTCATGGTATATAACACTTTTCCTTAATTCTGCGATGAAGAGTTTTTGTTCTCTGCACAATTTCTCTAAGTGGGTAAGTTTGTTCTTTAAAGTGTTCACAGTGTTTGCTGATTCCAGTAGATGACGCTCAGATGCTTCACTTTCTCGTTTCAGTTCACGAATTATCTCATCCTTTTCCACAAGCTGATCCTTCAAAATCCTAATCTCACCTTCTTTTCGTTTCATCACATTCTCTGCATCTGCAACGTCTTGGTTGAGATTGTGTATGACATGTACATGATTGGTTTCTGGTTTGTGTGTTTTGACATCAACGAGCCTTTGCTTCACGGTACCAAGATGTCTTTCCAGATTGTTCATGGAGTCTTGTATTTGTTTGATCTCTTGCAGCGTGTTTGAAAACATATCCGCAGTGTCATCGCCATTTCCGCTGCCCTGAAACGTTAGAAAACATCATAAGTCATAGGACTTGTTAGAGGCAGACTATTGTTTCGGTCACTGCTTGAGGGGAAACACGTTATTTTTTGCATATTGTTAAAAAAAATGCCCGTGTGTCCAGCGAACATATTTTACATATTTCCTCGAACTTTTTCCGAGTAAAAATGAATCCATTCGTCTATTTCTATGTTATTCCTCTAAATGGTGGCCTGGGATTTTAATCGAAAAGTGCGTTGTGTCAGACAATTCTTGATAGTGTAATAATGACACTGATAACACTGATAACACTGATAAGAAACGCCAGAACCCTATGATTGTAGGTTCGAATCCCGGTTCGCCCCAATTATGTTTCTAGGTTTGTCAGCACCATACCCGTGCTCGTGGGATTCACCGAAGTGGTATACGTCTGAAACCTGCATCACTTCGGGCTTAAACCCAACTCACTCACTCACTCACTTAAAAATAAAAGAAATTGTCTGCCACAAAATTACTTTGCTGCAAGTTTTTTGCAGGTCGATAGTTATGATACAAAAACATATATGGTTTGCAGTTTCAGCTGAAAAATATGTAAGTTCCATACAAAGTCCTTATACCTATGATCTCGGAATCTAGAAATAATTCTGCTGAATCTACTTGTAAAAGATGTCAGTGTGTCATATAGCTAAGTACGTAGTTTTGTGTTGAAGATAAAAATAAAACTCATCGCAATGAAATATCATACCTATTCTGCGCATGAGGGTTGTGGCTTATGCATGAAAACATTCAGAACCTAAATTTAGGTGAGGTGAGGTGAAAGTGGGTTTAACGTGGCGTCCAAGATTATTGCACTTCTATAGCGACGTGCATGCACGTGTGTGTGTGGCTGTTCGTACTAGTCCGGACTGATGCCGATTTATAGTGCTAGCACACTGAAATACCATGCCGCAGTTTAACATGAATACCCCACTCAGACACAGTATATACTGACTCCGAGCCGACCAGTCCTTGTTTTAGCCCTTTAATGCCGAGCGCCAGACAGGGTAACAACAAGTACCATCTTTTAACGTCTTTTGGTATGACGCGGCTAGGGATCGAAGCCCGGACCTTCCGCTCTCCGGGCGGACGCTCTACCACGAGACCACGGAGGCGGTCCCTAAATTAAGAACAATGCTTTATATCCATTGGCATGTCACACGTCATTGTCTCGGATGACCAGTTTTGCTCAATGCCGCACAATTGCTTGCGGTCAGCTGACATGTCTGTAAATGACACTTCAGTAATGAAACTATGTGTCATATCTATGTATGTAGATCACCTGTACTGACACCACATACTGTTGACGTCATTCAGAATACCACACATGACTGCATGTAAACACGGTTGTTGGTGTACTGCACGTTATTGCTTTAAGTTTTTGTTCACTAAGATACACCCATAATTAAATTATTATGTAATAGTGAGTGAGTGAGTATGGTTTTACGCCGCTTTTAGCAATATTCCAACAATATCACGGCGGGGGACACCAGAAATGGGCTTCACACATTGTACCCATGTCGGGAATCGAACCCAGGTCTTCGGCGTGACGAGCGAACGATTTAACCACTAGGCTACCCGACCCCCCTATTGTTTAATAACATGACATAACGAGTTACAAGTCGGAAAGTGGGACTTTGTAGAAAATGAGTGCAAATGTTTGATGCCATGTATCCCTGTAATAAATGTGAATTGAAGCTTATGAATTTTGTTTTGTGGTCCTAAGATTCTGTAGTTTTAAAATATAATAAGAAGTGAAAACATTTTTCATCCATTTGTTGTATGGTTTCCGCTGCAGATAGCCTACATGTTACAACTTTGTTCCACAAATACCACTATACCACCTTTGAGTGAGTGAGTATGGTTTTACGCCGCTTTTAGCAATATTCCAGCAATATCACGGCGGCGGACACCATGAATGGGCTTCACACATTGTACCCATGTCGGGAATCGAACCCGGGTATTCGGCTAACGCTTTAACCACTAGGCCACCCGACCGCCCCATGAAGCACCAGTATACAGTGTAGCAAATTTAACGCTCCAAGAATAATCAGTCACGAATACCAGCCGAAACAGATTCAATTGGACGTAAAAGATCGACGAACGTTATGAATGCATCACGGAGATTCAGGTGTTCGCGAAAATGGTAAGAAAGTCCATAGGATCTTTGCCTCTTGACAAAGTATTTAGAACTTTTTATTTCAATATATTGTTATATTGTTTGCATATAGCAAAATGAGTTCGTGTAATCCTGGACAATAAATGTATTTTGGTATTGATATACCCTTGTATCCCATTTAAAAGAATACATTAATACAACACACTGATGCCAGTGCATCCATAATTGTTTCATCAATAAATATGTGTTTATAAACTTTTGCACTCTCTGTCACTGTTACCACATAAAAGAATGTTTATTAACTGTTGTACGTAATTGAGTGAGTGAGTTGTGTTTAACGCCGCTTTTAACATTATTCCAGTCATATCACGGTGTGTCAGCTTAAAGTGGGAGGAAACCTCCAAGTGAAGCAGGTCTTAGACGTTTACCACTTTGATGAAACCAACGAGCACGGGTATGGTGCTGACAAACCTAGAAACATAATCGGGGCGAACCGGGATGCGAACCCCTCAATCATAGGTTTCTGGCGTGCCCAGGGGACGCAACTCTGCACAGCGAATTGCGGCGCCTTAGACGACTGAGCCACCCGTGCCCCCTGTTGTACGTAAAGTCACTGAAACAACATAATAATTTGGTTATTAACTGTTGTACGTGATGTCACTGTAATCATAAATAATTTGGTTATTAACTGTTGTACGTAATGTCACTGTAATCACATAATAATTTGGTTATTAACTGTTGTACGTAATGTCACTGTAATCACATAATAATTTGGTTATTAACTGTTGTACGTAATGCCACTGTAATCACATAATAATTTGGTTATTACCTGATGTACGTAATGTCACTGTAATCACATAATGATTTGGTTATTAACGGTTGCATGTAATGTCACTGTAATCACATAATAATTTGGTTATTACCTGTTGGAAGTAATGTCACTGTAATCCCATAATAATTTGGTTATTAACTGTTGTACGTAATGTCACTGTAATCACATAATGATTTGGTTATTAACTGTTGTACGTAATGTCACTGTAATCACATATTATAATTATTTGGTTATAAACTGTTGTACGTAATGTCACTGTAATCACATAATGATTTGGTTATTAACTGTTGGAAGTAATGTCACTGTAATCACATAATAATTTGGTTATTACCTGTTGCACGTAATGTCACTGTAATCACATAATAATTTGGTTATTAACTGTTGTACGTAATGTCACTGTAATCACATAATAATTTGGTTATTAACTGTTGTACGTTATGTCACTGTAATCACATAATGATTTGGTTATTACCTGTTGTACCTAATGCCACTGTAATCACATAATAATTTGGTTATTACCTGTTGTACGTAATGTCACTGTAATCACATAATAATTTGGTTATTAACTGTTGGAAGTAATGTCACTGTAATCACATAATAATTTGTTATTAACTGTTGTACGTAATGTCACTGTAATCACATAATGATTTGGTTATTAACTGTTGGAAGTAATGTCACTGTAATCACATAATAATTTGGTTATTACCTGTTGGAAGCAATGTCACTGTAATCACATAATAATTTGGTTATTAACTGTTGTACGTAATGTCACTGTAATCACATAATAATTTGGTTATTAACTGTTGTACGTTATGTCACTGTAATCACATAATGATTTGGTTATTACCTGTTGTACCTAATGCCACTGTAATCACATAATAATTTGGTTATTAACTGTTGTACGTAATGTCACTGGAATCACATAATAATTTGGTTATTAACTGTTGTACGTAATGTCACTGTAATCACATAATGATTTGGTTATAACCTGTTGTACGTAATGTCACTGTAATCACATAATGATTTGGTTATTAACTGTTGTACGTAATGTCACTGTAATCACATAATAATTTGGTTATTAACTGTTGCACGCAATGTCACTGTAATCACATAATAATTTGGTTATTAACTGTTGGAAGTAATGTCACTGTAATCACATAATAATTTGTTATTAACTGTTGTACGTAATGTCACTGTAATCATAAATAATTTGGTTATTAACAGTTGTACGTAATGTCACTGTAATCACATAATGATTTGGTTATTAACTGTTGTACGTAATGTCACTGTAATCCCATAATAAATTGGTTATTAACTGTTGTACGTAATGTCACTATAATCACATAATGATTTGGTTATTAACTGTTGTACGTAATGTCACTGTAATCACATAATGATTTGGTTATTGACTGTACATGTTGTACTTAAAGTCACTGTTACCGCATGCAGCTTTGGTTGTCTAAAGTTGTGCTTCAAGTCACTGTAACCACATAAATAATTGGTTATTACGATTCTATTTCAAGCTACTCGACGACAATGAATGATTACAACAGCCTTCGTAATGGAGGGTTACTTCATCCGAAGTATAATGCTGAACATCCAGAATCCAAATAAACTGAGTCAAATTAAAAACTTCACATTTTTAAATGTAATCCCATATATGATATACAACGGACAAATGTATCAGAGAAGGTAATTTTTAATCATTAATCACCATGTGCGTTGACAACTGCCACACAACGCCTCCGCATTGACCTTGTGATGCTTGTGAACACATGATTGGGAAGACGACGCCATTGTTGCTGCACAATGGTGCCAAGATCTTGCAAATTCTGTGGTTGGTTCTGGAGAGTGCGCAGACTTCTGCCAAGAGCATCCCAGATGTGTTCGATGGGATTGAGGTCGGGAGACCTTGACGGCCAGTCCGTGACGTTGACTCCCGCATTCTGCAGGAAATTCCTTGTCACAATTGCTGTGTGGGGTCTGGCATTGTCGTGTTGGAAGATCAAACCGGGTCCATGTGCTGCAATAAAAGGCAAAAGTTCTGGTGCCAGTACCTGGTCGCGGTAAGCAGCAGCGTTGAGGTTGCCACGGATGACAAGAAGCCTGGAACGTGCATTGCCACAGAAAGCACCCAACACCATGACACTTCCGCCTCGAAATCTGTCAACACTGGGCGTAACGTTCATGACGGCGCCTCCACACCCTCGCCCTACAATCAGTAAATCGAAGACGACTTGATTCCAATCCTTCTGAGTCCATCGTAAGTGTCGCTGTGCCCACAATTGACGTTGACGTCTGTGTAATTGAGTCAGAATCGGCCCGCAGTATGACCGTCGTGCATGAAAGTGAGCAGTTCTCAGACGGTTTCTAACAGTTTGCGCACTCAGTCTACCCCTAAACAGTTCATTTCTGGTTGATGTAGCCGTCAAAAATCGGTTACGGAAGTGACGTAAGACAATCTGACGATCCTCTGCATGTGACGTCACACGTGGTCGACCTGGCCGAGGGCGATCAGCGGTGGTACTCGTTTGCTGTAGACGCGTCTGTAAATCATAAACAGTCCGTCGACTACAACCCATCGTCCTTGCGACTTCAGCTACGGACGTTCCCGTCTGCAACATGCCGATGGCACGTTCACGTTGCACATTTGAAAGGCGAGGCATGACAAATGGCCGTAATGACTTTTGTTTTCTTGTGTTTTTCTTTTTTTGTTAATGAATGCTAACAAGTATGGCTGAAAACACGTGCGGTATTAGGGCCACGTGACCAGTTGCACGTGAAAAACAATTTTGCCTTTATAGTGCTGTGCACATGATTTTGATCGATTCACCTGCACAAAAACGGGTGTTATCTGAAGACAATACGTGGCCATTACTGTTTAAATACACAATAAGGGCCCACAATGATAACTGGTCAAAATGTTAAAATTTTAGGATTGTGAATTTTTTAATTTGGTTCAGTATATATTGCAATCTAGCTAAATTGTGTTTTAGGAAACTAGTTTGTTATCACCAAAACAAATAGTTGATTGTTTTATCAACACTGAGCAAATATCTCAATTTTTCAAGCGATCACTAGCAGGGCATAAAAATCCCAAGTACAAATAAATATTTTCCTTATGCAAGGGGACTATTTATATATAACTAAAACTGAGAATGAAGTTCTTCAAACAACAAGTAAATATGCTGTTACAAATACGCGAATTTATTATTTAAAATCATCCATCCATCATATTTGAAAAATGAATGTTGCGAACAATGTGAAAAATAATGTTGTTCACTAAATAGATGTGGCATACAAATTTCAAACATAAGATGAAACTCATTATGACACAATAACCATTTAACCCACTCTGTGTGCTGGATGGTCATAGGCAGGCAGCAATTTCATTTGCGATACTTAATATTAGAAACTCGAGTAAACGTTAGCAAATGTTCGGAAAAATAATCATCCACTCTGGGAAATTGATTAATCTTTAATTCACCCAATACAATTCAAATATCTAACAGAAATGCATTTCATACAAAAAAGCACCACACAAAGAAAAGCTAATACATAATAAGATTCGATTATCTTAAATACATACCACCTCTTTGCAATCCTCTTGCAATTTCTGTGAAACGTGGGGGTATCCTTTGGTCTCTAAAGCGCCAATAAAACTGACAAAAGCTCCCGTTCCTCTCTGCAGTAGAGTTTCTAACAAGCAATGATTCCTATCACTTTTTGTTTTATAACTACGGATGAGTTGTACATCTTCCACACTCAGGGTCGCTGTCCCTATGAGCGAGTCCACCAAGTCCATCGCTTCTATTTCATCCTTGATGAAGACCCAGTTGTTGCTGATGCAGAGGTCATGATGAGGGAGCATCTTCCCCTTAGTCATCACATATCGAGCCATCTCTGAAAAAACCCCAAAGGTAATCATTTGAGTCCTCACATAAACCAACCGTAACCATAGTACCATTGAAATTCTTGTAGAGTTGTTTGTTGCTTAACGCAACCAGCAATATTTCAGACCGACGTCCCGAAAACAATATAATCTGGATAGATAAACAAGTGATTAAAAGAGTGAATAAGTCAACATTGTCGGGGTCCGATGAAATGTAATCAGCTGAGTCGCCGAGCTTGAACACCCGAACCAGTTTTATCCCCTTTTACGACAAGGACTGCCTCCGTGGTCTAGTGGTAGAGTATCCGCCCGGAGAGCGGAAGGTCCGGGCTTCGATCCCCGGCCGCGTCATACCAAAAGACGTTAAAAGATGGTACTTGTTGTTACCCTGTCTGGCGCTCGGCATTAAAGGGCTAAAACAAGGACTGGTCGGCTCGGAGTCAGTATACTGTGTCTGAGTGGGGTATTCATGTTAAACTGCGGCATGGTATCTCAGTGTGCTAGCACTATAAATCGGCATCAGTCCGGACTAGTACAAGCAGCCACACAAACACAGCGACACGATATTTATGTGCAATTGGTCCCGGTTATCATATAAACAATTATATCCTTGATATCCACGTTACATGTCTTTATATCAATGAGTTAACATATCTTTTTTGACCGTCTTCGTGGTGTAGGGGCACGGTCGTCTTAGGCGATTCGCTGTGCAGAGTTGCGTCCCTTGGGCAAGCCAGAAACCTATGATTGTGGGTTCGAATCCCGGTTCGCCCCAATTATGTTTCTAGGTTTGTCAGCACCATACCCATGCTCGTGGGTTTTACCGAAGTGGTAAACGTCAGTGACCTGGGTCACTTCGGGCTTTCCTCCCACATTAAGCTGACACTCCGCGATATTACTGGAATACTGTTAAAAGCGGCGTGGATAGAGTGTCAGCCAGGAGAGCCGAAGGCCGGTGGTACAAACTCCTGGCCACATCATACCAAGAGATGGTACTGTTTGATAGTACTTATTGCTATCGTGGCCGAGAGCTCGGCATCACTGCGATAAAAATAGGAATGTTCTGCTCGGAGTATAATGTCTCTGAGTGGGCTGTCCATTAATCTGTCTTTCAGACCCATGGTCTATTCCAGCACTCATTCCCTTCTCCGTCAGCCAATGCACCAACCCTTCTTAGCTCTAGCTCTGAAATTGAGAGACTTCATGGTTTCTCAATACCCGAGTGATCCCTTATATAGTTGTTTTATTTAACCTTACACATAATTTATTTCAGGGACTGTAGTCTTGATGCTAAACTGTCGCATGGTATCTCGGTGGCGAAGCGCTATAAATCCGTACTAATACAAGCAGCCACACACAGAGATGTGTATTCACTTCGCTCTACGATAGAAATAGTTTAAGACGCGATGTTCACTCCCACTTCACTTCACATGTAATATTCTGATAGTAGGTGTATGTAAAACCACCTCTTTCAAAGTATATTTATATCTACCTCTATTTTAACTGCAGAATATTTGTTCACTTTTAATCTCTGGCTAAACTAGCAGCAATCGCCAGTAACTTGTGGAAGTGTAAATCCTGCTGGGGAACCATGCAGGTAGCAGAGATACCGTAAGTCCCCTTTGTCCACAGTATGGTGATTGTAACCTTGTTGCTGGCGATCTATAGCCCCATTTTTATATTGTGCCGTACCTCAATAATCAGATATTTTTAATGTTCTACAACTAGTTTTAAATCAATCTGTGATATATTGCTAATTATTATACTGTCCCTCGTCGACAGTCTTTATAACTATTGTATAACTTGTTCAAGTCACATTATGACTGAAATATTGCCAACGTGACTTTAATTAAACTCACTCACTGATAGTAGGTTGCAATTTACGTCTACAATATTTGAAAGAATAATGGCCTAAATAACTATGATTTCTACCAAAATCTTGGGTACTTTAATATTACCATTTACACAAAATACATTAAAACGAATATTACAAATTAAGTAAGTGAACAAGTATTGTAAGCGTGTTTAATACAACGACTACAACATTACCTGGATAATCGTATACACAAGCTATGTGGATGTAAACGTTTAAGGTAGTTAATGAAATTCGAAATATATTCGATGGTATACTAGTGTACATGATTTACCTAAAGCCGGACTTTCAATTACTTACTAACCTGCAGACGAATTCCAATATAGCTCCTTCTCGCTGCAGGAATCAGTTGCTTATATTATCTTGACAGAGTTGGGGTCTTGCTTTACTCTGGTAGTCTAAATAAAAACATGACAGAATATATCCTGGGAATTATGGTGACGTTTTAACAGTTCAATGAATATTACATTTTAAATCCACCCGGGTCAATGATGACGCACGTAAGGCTCGCTTCAATATGAAATCCTTTAGTGTGGCACAATGAAAATGGTTTAGTAGCTATCTGTCAACAACTGTCGAGATCCGCGATTAAGGACATTGATATTGTGCTTTGCAGGAGAGCACTAAAACGGATATGTTGGAACATACATCACGCATGCCTGGGTATGTATACAGGCACGACATGGTACTACTCTGCAATACGTGACATATATGGAGAGCACATGCCATGTATGGAAAATGAAATACAACATTAACAGCATTCTGTGGGCGTTTTTGGACACATATCTGAACAGACGAGAGAGAACAGCGAACAGGAATAACGAAGAGTGTTACATTAACAGATTATATATTAAATTGTCTTGCAAGGATCGGTTTCTTAGGGAGTGAGTCTGTATGGTTTTACGCCGCTTTTAGTATTATTCCAACAATATCACATCGGGAGACACCACAAATGGGCTTCACACATTGTACCCATGTCGGGAATCGAATCCGGGTCTTCGGCGTGACGAGCGAACGCTTTAACCACTAGGCTACCCGACCGCCCCTTCTTAGCGAGATATAGGAGGATTATAACTAAAGTTTATTGACCAGATAAGACTTGCCTTCCCTTTTTCAAGTTCAAAAATATGTATAACAGCAGAGGACTGACATTCTTTTGCACACAATATACCCTTTCTTATTAAAGATAATGTACAAAACACAATTGATTCAATGCATAAAATACATTGAATTGTTATCATATATTTGTGATTGGGAAGATCTGTTGTATAAAAGAACAACTTAAAAGCATATCTTAAAGCCTACGTGATGGAAACAAATAGAACCACTCTACTATTGTTTTATTTTTGTGTATTTCTTATGATACATTTACATTTCATTGCTTAATCAATATTTATAATTTTATCTATATTTTACTTCAATCTTTCACTATTTGTATTCGTTCGATAGGAAACGATGTATATAAGATAAGCCATTGTCCTTTACAGGTAATTTTTATGAAAAAACAAACATTTAGAGTATGTAAAATCATTTTATCATCCAAAACTGGCTCCCACAGGAGATATCGCTTGGGTGAGATCGAGCGATATCTACACTGTAGATATCGCTGCTATGAAACTGCATCACAATTCTTTGCACACCATTGTGATGTCATTGTTACCATGACGTCACAATCAAATGACATCACTAATGGCTCTGCTACTGAAGCTGTTAGCAGTACTTTTTACACTGAAGAGACTGCTAATTACTGTCTACAAACTAAAAAAGTTGAAAGAATGATGTTGGATGATAAATAAAATCTCACCCTCGTGTCTTTTGATATCAAATATATCAACACTTGTTTTATCAACTCGTGTTGATATATTTGATATCAAAAGACACTCGGGTGAGATTCTCTTTGTACATGTGCTTCGAATGTTGTGATATACATTGCCTTTGAACTACATGGATGATGATAACTATATATGTAAAATGATAAAAATGTTAATGAGAGACGGCACAAGGGAGAGTTATCACACGGTTACATGTGTATGAGATACATGCAGTGTCTGTAACCATCGGCTGTAATCACAGAGGTTATACACGGTCACAGCTATAACGATACTTCGTTACTGTTGAGAGTGGGCAGGAACCAACAGAAGACAAAATAGGGACCTGTATTCTATGAATGAATGAACGAATGAATGAATGAATGAATGATCTTTATTTCCACCATTAATTTCGGAGAGTGAAAGACATTTGTAATCATGTTAACACAACATACACTCTTCAAAAAAAGAAACGCACATGTAGATTTTTAGTAAATATATTGTACCTAATAAAGTAGATATATTTAATTTAATATCATAGATACAAATATGAAACTTTGGAGCTCGATAGTCACACGTTGTCTTGTACAAAGGCATCGAAAACTGTTCATAGTCATGTCATTTAAGGCCACAAGGTTGCGCTGAACTCAGTTTCTCGTGTGACCGCCCCGGGCAGCAATCACGGCTCTTCATCTCCTCGGCATTGACTGTATAAGTGTACGAATTCTGTCCTGCGGAATTCTGCGCTATTCTGCTTGTAACGCGTTGGCCAGTTGTGGGAGTGTCTGCGACGTGTTCTTACCTTGATGTACACGTCGAGCGTATTCATCCCAGAGGTGTTCGATTGGGTCGAGATCTGGAGATCTCGACGGCCAGGGCAAGATTTGATGTTGGCATTATGCAGGTAGTCTACCGTGACACGAGCTGTAACAGCTCCCTCTGGCGGCCAATGATTGGAAGAAGGTGAAATTGTAAAATTTGATTCGTGTAGCGATTTGCTGTCACATTTCCCTGAACCACAACCAAGTCAGACCCCCCCCCCCCCCCCCCCCCCCCCCAACACACACGCACCATGACACTACCGCCACCGAAAATGTCGAGTTCACGTACACAATGTGGGGCAAAACGCTCGACGGCGAAAAACACGTTGTCTACTATCTCGCCGTTGAAGACGAAATCATGATTCATCGCTAAACCACACTCGACTCCAGTTTCTCAAATTCCTAGGGTATTGCCCAAACGCAAGCGTCCCAAAGGCAGCAAATGGTGCTGTGTTAGACGTTGAAGTGGCGTGCAACAGAAAACTCCAATTCCCCTCATTGGACACGTCCTGGGGCAATGTTGCGATCGGCAGCGCTGAGTCTCGACATTTTCGAACTTGAAAAATGTTGACAATTGAATGACACATTATTGGCTTATGCCTGCCTTTTTATAGCCACTATAGCTACCACGAGTTACGAATGCCATAACTTGCACGTGCGTTTTGCTTTACTGTTTTCCTCCATTACATTTTTTAACATGTGTAAAAAAAATGCCGTTTAAGACATTGCAAATCGACAATGGTTGCGTTTTGACGCACCGTTTGTCGAATATCAGGCCACCAACATTTTCCAATAACATATATCCAATTTATAAACAGGATTTTTTGTGTTGTCAGGTTCAATGAACTACAAACTACCTGTGCGTCTCTTTTTTTAAAGAGTGTGCATTGGAAGATCTGTCCGTGTTGAAAGATTTGACTTCTTTGAATATATAGGTGGCTATGTTTGCACCATGTTCTCGCCTGAAGCCACATTGTACTCTATTTGGGACGTCATTTCTTTATAGGAATGTGATATTTCTTTATTCATTTAGCACTGTAGGCCATCGGCCCATTGTACATTTAGATAGTCCAGTCCACAATGGACATTAACGAGCTTCTGATATTCATGGCATGGAATATAAAAAAAATAGAGGTTTTTCATGGTTTCAGCATGGCATGGTGACAACAATATGTTAAATTTATGTAATGTAGGATGGACATAATATTTTCCCGGAATATATTTGTTTCTAAGATTGTTATATGTTTTACAAATTAACAGAAAGTGGTATTCGGTTTCAATAAGACCAATGTTACAGAGATTACAAAGTATTTGGTCTTTTTGGGCTCAATATATTTGATATACCTCTCAGTTCTCTCTTACGGGAACTTTTCGAACAGTTGTCCCACCACGGACATCAGGGTGATACAAAATTTGCAGGATCTGATCTGTCCTTATTGTTTCCTTTATATATTGGAATAATTGTACAGGATCTTAACAGTACAGGGGTATAGCAAGTACATGTACGTATCATCATGTTAAACAGCTGGGTTAAGTGTTTTAGGAGCATATCTCCAGCGAAATAGATATGTTCATTTGTGATTTGGTCAGGTCCTTGTGATTTTCTCATTTTTAAGCTTTGTTTCAGTTGTTTTATTTCTTACATTTCTATGTACGTCATCAGTATAGGATCATCGTCTAGAAGTGGTATCTTTGAGATGCTGAGTCCGTTTCAACACGAAAGTCGTTGTCAAACTCCGGCCGGTCAAGAGGTGCTAATAAATCTGCATAGTTGTCTGCCCCCAAGTTGCACACCTCTGATGGTGTATTGCAACAGCGTTCTTTGTACTTACGGTGTGTATTTACAGTCTTGGATTGTCTTTGTTCCCGTACAATCCTGTAGAATTCAGCAATATCAACTTCCCATGCTCAGCTCATATTATTCTTTATTCCATTGTCTCCCACCCGAAAGTCACATTTCACCTGTTTGTGTTGGGTATTCGAGTCGTTATCTATGTACTATGTCTGTATGTCCATGTACTACGTATATCCATGTACTATCTCTGTGTATCTATGTACTATGACAGTATATCTGTGTACTATGTCAGTATATCTATGTACTATGTCAGTATATCTATGTACTATGCATATCTATGTACTATGACAGTATATCTGTGTACTATGTCAGTATATCTATGTACTATGCATATCTATGTACTATGTCAGTATATCTATGTACTATGGACATGTATATCTATGTACTATGCATATCTATGTACTATGTCAGTATATCTATGTACTATGTCAGTATATCTATGTACTATGCATATCTATGTACTATGTCAGTATATCTATGTACTATGGACATGTATATCTATGTACTATGCATATCTATGTACTATGTCAGTATATCTATGTACTATGTCAGTATATCTATGTACTATGTCAGTATATCTATGTACTATGTCAGTATATCTGTGTACTATGCATATATATGTACTATGTCAGTATATCTATGTAGTATGGACATGTATATCTATGTACTATGCATATCTATGTACTATGTCAGTATATCTATGTAGTATGGACATGTATATCTATGTACTATGCATATCTATGTACTATGTCAGTATATCTATGTACTATGTCAGTATATCTATGTACTATGCGGGGCGGTCGGGTAGCCTAGTGGTTAAAGCGTTCGCTCGTCACGCTGAAGACCCGGGTTCGATTCCCGACATGGGTACAATGTGTGAAGCCCATTTATGGTGTCCCCCGCCGTGATATTGCTGGAATATTGCTAAAAGCGGCGTAAAACCAAACTCACTCACTCACTCACTATGTACTATGCATATCTATGTACTATATCAGTATATCTATGTACTATGGACATGTATATCTATGTACTATGCATATCTATGTACTTTGTCAGTATATCTATGTACTATGTCAGTATATCTATGTACTATGCATATCTATGTACTATGTCAGTATATCTATGTACTATGTCAGTATATCTATGTACTATGCATATCTATGTACTATGTCAGTATATCTATGTACTATGGACATGTATATCTATGTACTATGCATATCTATGTACTATGTCAGTATATCTATGTACTATGTCAGTATATCTATGTACTATGCATATCTATGTACTATGTCAGTATATCTATGTACTATGGACATGTATATCTATGTACTATGCATATCTATGTACTATGTCAGTATATCTATGTACTATGTTAGTATATCTATGTACTATGCATATCTATGTACTATGTCGGTATATCTATGTACTATGGACATGTATATCTATGTACTATGCATATCTATGTACTATGTCAGTATATCTGTGTACTATGTACATGTATATCTATGTACTATGTATGTATATCTATGTACTGTGTCTGTATATCTATGTACTATGTCGGTAAATCTATGTACTATGTCAGTATATCTATGTACTATGTCGGTATATCTATGTACTATGTCCGTATATCTATGTACTTTGTCTGTATATCTATGTACTATGTCTGTATATCTATATACTATGTCGGTATATCTATGTACTATGTCGGTATATCTATGTACTATGTCTGTATATCTATGTACTATGCATATCTATGTACTATGTCCGTATATCTATGTACTATGTCTGTATATCTATGTACTATGTCTGTATATCTATGTACTATGTCTGTATATCTATGCACTATGTTTGTATATCTGTGTACTATGTATGTACATCTATGTACTATGTCCGTATATCTATGTACTATGTCCGTATATGTATGCACTATGTCTGTGTATCTATGTACTATGTCCGTATATATATGTACTATGTCTGTGTATCTATGCACTATGTCCGTATATCTATGCACTATGTTTGTATATCTATGTTCTATGTCAGTATATATATATGTACTATGTCTGTATATCTATGCACTATGTTTGTATATCTGTGTACTATGTATGTATATCTATGTACTAAATATATATATGCACTCAGTAACACGCCTGCCTGCAAAGCCCCCACTCCACCCGGCGCTACAACGACCCGGTGAGAATAAGGGGTGCCCGTTGTCTGGCGTACTTCCATTGCAGGTGACGCGGAGCACACGGGTGGTCGTGTAACTCCCGTTAAATATTTTAATTTCGAAAACCAGGTACATAAATCAATAAAACTGTCTGTACGTTTATAAATTACGATGTCTCTCAACAAGTGTACTCTAGTTCTGTGCCTTCAGGAGACAATTGTGCAGTACAAGTTAGAGAACATTGTCCGCTCCAAGTTAGGAGAATTGTGCGGTACAATTTACAGAACATTGTCCGCTCCAAGTTAGGAGAATTGTGCGGTACAAGTTACAGAACATTGTCCGGTACAAGTTAGGAGAATTGTGCGGTACAAGTTACAGAACATTGTCCGGTACAAGTTAGGAGAATTGTGCGGTACAAGTTACAGAACATTGTCCGCTCCAAGTTAGGAGAATTGTGCGGTACAAGTTACAGAACATTGTCCGGTACAAGTTAGGAGAATTGTGCGGTACAAGTTACAGAACATTGTCCGCTTCAAGTTAGGAGAATTGTGCGGTACAAGTTAGAGAACATTGTCCGCTTCAAGTTAGGAGAATTGTGCGGTACAAGTTACAGAACATTATCTGCTCCAAGTTAGGAGAGTTGTGCGGTACAAGTTACAGAACATTGTCCGGTACAAGTTAGGAGAAATGTGCGGTACAAGTTACAGAACATTGTCCTGTACAAGTTAGGAGAATTGCTACAAGTTGGTACAAGCTGCAGCTATAGACCAATTCTAACTCTGATCTCCACGGGAACTACACAAATTGGCAAATACACATATCGATTTGAGTCTTGCTCAGAAGTTGTTTGATCAAGGCCTCAGCAAGTATTTAAAAAATGTTTTATGGGAGACATGTGGAGGACATTTCCAAATTTGACGCATCAGTGACAAAAATGATGTCAGATGCAATTTCCTATAGCTATTTTGTACCACATGTTCCCAAGTTTTTTCAGGTGAACAATTTACTTGCCTTTGCACGTGTTTGTGACGGGTGCCACCGGTGGGGCAGGATATGCTCACCTTTTCGCGAACACCTGGTATCATTACTATTTGATAGTAATTTATAAACACGTCATCATAATGTAGTCGGAATTGTACAATCGACTCTGATTTATGCAGAAATTTCTTTTGGATATGGAAAGGTTTTTGTCTCTTTATGTGACACGTTCATAGATATCAGGCCAGCCATTTCTGTCAATAGTCGACCGCCTCCGTGGTCTAGTGGTAGAGCGTCCGCCCGGAGAGCGGAAGGTCCGGGGTTCGATCCCGGGCCGCGTCATACCAAAAGACGTTAAAAGATGGTACTTGTTGTTACCCTGTCTGGCGCTCGGCATTAAAGGGCTAAAACAAGGACTGGTCAGCTCGGAGCCAGTATACTGTGTCTGAGTGGGGTATTCATGTTAAACTGCGGCATGGTATCTCAGTGTGCTAGCACTATAAATCGGCATCAGTCCGGACTAGTACAAGCGGCCACACACACACACACGTGCATGCACATCGCTATATAAGTACAATAATCTTGGACGCAGTTAAACCCCATTTCACCTCACCTCACCTTCTGTCAATAGTATACGGACGTTTATCCAGGATGCAGTGTACACATGAATAGAAAAAAACAAATTACAGAAATAAATAATATGAAAAAGACCCGTTTCGAAAAAAGAGTTTTGTAAACATAAATTTAGGCTGAACGAACACAGGGGTGTGAAATAAACAAACTATCCATTGAACACAACCTTATGTAGTTATGCAGCATAATCTTATGTATATTTATATGAAGACACGCAATCAGCCAAGTCGCTACGGTTATAACGACACGCTTATAACGAACTGACAGATATAACGAACTTATTTTTTAGTCCCGTCCATTTGTTGTTTAATTTATATGCTGTATATATGCTTATAACGAACTACGGTTATAGCGAACTAAATTTAGTGGTCCCTTTGAGTTCGTTATAACCGTAGTGTACTGTAATTCGGAATATCCGCTAATCGTTTGTGATTGTTGCTTTACTTTGGTAAAATATAAGATGCGCTTTTCCATCCATTGTCCTCTTGTCTCGTTGTGCGAATATTGTGCATAAATGCATGTAGAATACATTCATAGCCGTGTTAACTTAACTTTATATCTGATCACTTTTCACTAAAGCATCGGCAAGCGCTACCAGGACCGTCATTTCTTATCGCACTACGGTATACAGTAGGCATGGCCAACTCTCCGTATTAACGTGACAGTAACATAACTATGACACTCAGCTTACCTAAGCACAGGGTTATAAGGTTATCTAACATTGTACAGATGATATAGGGTTTGCTAATCGAACCTTCTAGTCAACAAGCGATACCTCTACCTTTAACTTGAGTTACGCTTGAATTAGTTTATTGTGTGATGTCTTGTGTTCTGAATCAGGTTTCAGTTCATGCATATTTGTGGTGATAAGAGCGTACTGTTTTCGTCGTCAAATAATTCAGGTAAGCGCACACAGTTTTTGATTTTGAAGTTTATTGACTTTTGTTTATTGACATTTAGTCCGTGTTGTTGTTATACAGTAACCGGAAAGTGGGCCTTACTTGCATAAAATCTTACTATCACGAGACAAGTTACAAGTTATTGTTCGTTGATATAAGCTACTTCATGTTTTTTATCAAGATAGAAAAGGTTTACTTACTGTTTGATTGGCATTTTGGAAGTTGGAGAGTAGGTAAGAACACGGTCGACTTTATGGATAACAACTTCTGGTTTATTACATATAGCGACGTTTCGATGTAGATTCTTATACCGTTATCAAGCTGGAGTGAGTGAGTGAGTTGTGTTTAAAGCCGCTTTTAACAGTATTCGAGTTATATCGCGGCGAGTCAGCTTAATGTGGGAGGAAAGCCCGAAGTGATGCAGGTTTCAGACGTTTACCACTTCGGTGAAACCCACGAGCACGGGTATGGTGCTGACAAACCTAGAAACATAATCGGGGCGAACCGGGATTCGAACCCACAATCATAGGTTTCTGGCGTGTCCACGGGACGCAACTCTGCACAGCGAATCGCGGCGCCTTAGACGACTGGGCCACCCGTGCCCCCTATCAAGCTGGAGTGCCACTCTAGCTTGATAATGGTGTAAGAAACTACATCGAAAGGACATAGTGGGCATTTGAATTTATGAGGTCTGATTTATTTTGTATATCCTCAGGCTGACAAAACTACATTTACAATGGCTCGGCTGGTCACTGAAAAGGGGAAAATGAGAGAAGACGAAGAAATGAGTATCAGGGCATACACCTCCGAAATAGAAGAGATACTGGAAGCAAAGGATATAACTGGGACACTCTTTTCAAAAGGAATTCTAGACTTTCCTGATCGTCAAGAAATTGAAGCATGCCATTCAAAAATTGAAAGAGCCAAACGTTTCCTCAACACCATTGTATTTAGAGGACCAAACGCCTTTACTGAGTTTGTGTCGGCTTTGAAAGAAAAAGGTTACATGGACCTAGCCGACAAACTTTGCCAGAAAAACACTGCAGATGAAATCGCCATGCTGATCAGAGATGGAAGGATGGTGGACGAACTCAACAAAGAGCTCGGTGAGCTTAAAACACGGATGAAAAGCATGGAGATCACGTTCCACAGAACAGGTGCAACTAAACGAGATATAGATTCATTAAAAGATGGCATAGAAAATATGTCCCTGACTCTAGAGAAGATAGAAAGTTTGACAAAGACGAGCGAAGAAACTGTGTCTACCATCAACTCAATGCACCGGCAACTGAAGCAGAAGGACAAGGAGCTTGAAGCTGCACGAGCAGAGATACAGAAGCTGAAGGAGGATGTGTTGAAGCTTGAGAAAGATAACTCAGTATTGAGAGGGGAACTGGAGAAACAAAGGGGGGTTGTCGAGAACTTGAATGATGAGATGGAAAAGATGAAGGAGAAGAACACAGCTTTGGAGAAGAAAGTTGAAGATAGTCAAGCAACCTTCACAGAGATTCTGCGAGATCAGAAGAAAGAAATGAACGAAATGAAAAGGACTATCCAGGACATATCAGCTCAGAGTAAACCACTGGCTGTGAAGCCTGTCAAACTGGCCCCCAGGGCTATCATTCCACGGAATAGGTTTCAGAAGAAATAACAGCGGCAGTGACAGTATTCCAGTGATATCACTGTATGTCGGCGTAAAGTTGGAGGAAAGCCCGAAGTGATGCAGGTCTCGGACGTGAAACCAACGAGCACGGGTATGGTGCTGACAAATCTAGAAACATAATCGGGGCGAACCGGGATTCGAACCCCACAATCATAGGTTTCTGGCGTGCCCAAGAGACGCAACTCTGTACAGCGAATTGCGGCACCATAGACGACTGGTCCACCCGTGCCCCTCAGTGACAAAAGAACAGACTAATAAAATCTGACAATATTGGAACTGACGAGGAGCTGATATTTCAAGCGTCCTTCAATAAACACGAAATAACCATGTAAGGATGACTACAGCCGGTGAAAGACATTTCAACTGTGATAAGAAGGCTCGCATGTTTTTGCGTATGTCATGTTGAGGCTTCGGTCGACAGGAATGTAAATCCCTGTTGGAGGTGACAAACCGTAAACTAAAATTTAATACGGTTTTGATCCCTTTGACTGAATACCTGTTGTCGGTAAGAGGCGGGCCCGTGAAGACCCGGGGTAGAATAGGTCTTCAGCAATCCATGCTTGTCGTAAAAGGCGACTATGCTTGTCGTAAAAAGGCGACTAACGGGATCGGGTGGTCTGACTTGGCTGATGCAGGGTCATCGATCCCAGTTGCGTGGATCGATCCCCATGATGTCAATCACTGGATTGTCTGGTCCAGACTCGATTATTTATACAGACCGCCGTCATAAAGCTGGAATATTGCTGAGGTCGGCGTTAAACAACAACAAACAAACAAATATATTGTCAATGTAACGTTGAAAGGATTCGATTGTTTACATCTTAGAATTGTGGTGCGTCCGCTTGGTAATCCCAGTGTGGGTATAAAAACGTCACATGACCTTGCTGTTTGTTGCTTAACAACTAACTGAACTGTTTTGGACAATTCCGATGTGTATAATGCATTGTGTTCCTGTGGGGGGTATAGTGATAGCCGTATTGTCCTACACGCTCCAAAGAGTATGAATTGGAAGAATTGTCGTATGGGGTTCATACTTGTTTGTGTGATACCTTATACTGGCTCGACATCAAATACTGTCGACACAGACACAGTGGGTCATTGTGATGTCAAGGGCTGAATGTTCTTGATAGGAAAGGTCATTTTGAGGATCTGTAAAGTCTAATTTGTGTTCTAATATAAGCCTTTGTTTCAAACCTATAAATATATTCATTGGTGCTTTGAGTGCTTTGTCATTGTGCAGACCGCCTCCGTGGTCTTGCGGTAGAGCGTCCGCCCGGAGTGCGGAGGGTCCGGGGATCGATCCCCGGCCGCGTCATACCAAAAGACGTTAAAAGATGGTATTGTTGTTACCCTGTCTGGTCCTCGGCAGTAAGGGGCTAAAACAAGGACTGGTCGGCTCGGAGTCAGTATACTGTGTCTGAGTGGGGTGTTTATGTTAAACTGCGGCAGTGAGCTAGCACTATAAATCGGCATCAGTCCGGACTAGTACAAGCGGCCACACAAACACACACACGTACATGCACGTCGCTATATAAGTGCAATAATCTTGGACGCGACGTTTAACTCCACTTCACCTCACCTCTCCTTGTCATTGTGCAAAGGTTTGCATGAATCTGAGTCTGAAAGTACATTGTACCCAAGTGAAGACCGAACACAGACCTTGTTCACTGTACCCATACACTACCAGTGTGCTAATTAAAGACAAACCTGTAGTTACGAAATACGCGATCACCTTAGTGTTAAAGAGTCAGCGTAACTGTTGTCAACAGCAACGACAGCAGTGTTTGTTGGTGTTTATACCTATACATAAACATGACGTGTATAGGCACGGTCGAATTACCATTATACAGCAACTATACACACCAACAGAGTCATTAATAACACCATTGAGATAACCCTGTTGTCAACCATTGACATATGTCTTACGTTAAATCAATTGATTAATGATCAAAATGTGTTATCTTTATTTATAGAACGTTTACACGCATACATATCACACACTATCATACAGTGACTCATTCTTCTTCTTCTTCTTATTTTTATTATTAATATTATTTACAAATTAAAATAAAAAGTGTATAAAGAGGGTTTTGGTGATCCTAGCACAGTCAGACTTGTTAGGCTCATCATCAACTCAGGGTCCTTGCCCCCCTTTGGATTTCTGAGTGAGTGAGTGAGTGAGTGAGTGAGTGAGTGAGTTTGGTTTTTCCGCCGCTTTTAGCAATGTTCCAGCAATATTCCAGCTTCACACATTGTACCCATGTGGGGAATCGAACCCGGGTCTTCGGCGTTACAAGCCAACGCTTTAACCACAAGACTACCCCACCGCCATCTCCTCCCAGCGACCCATGAAGATCCGGGTTAGAATAGGTCTTCAGCAACCCATACTTGCCGTAAAAGGCGACTATGCTCGTCGTAAGACGCGACTAACGGGATCGGGTGGTCAGGCTCGCTGGCTTGGGTGATGCATGTCATCGATCCTAATTGCGTGGATCGATGCATGCTCATGATGTCAATGACTGGATTGTCTGGTCCAATCTCGATTATTTACAGGCCGCTGTCATATTGCCGAATATTGCTGTAAGACAACCAACCAACCGACCAATTGTCTCCCAGGAACGACTGCCTAGTCGAACCCCCCAGAACTTTTCGGAGAATGTGAAAACTCCCCAACACTGCAGCCTTCGGCGTTACCAATAAATTGTCAGAAGGGCTGTATACCTGGCAGCAAACCCGGGTACTCACCTAATGTTCGTGAACAGATTGGGAGGTACCGAGAACAATGGGGAGTCGGGCAACTTGGTACTTGGGAAGCAAGCGTGACATTTCGAAAGCGAGGTCCGTATATTTGCCATTTTTTTCCTCAATCTTGTCAATCACATTAGTGTCAAAAGGGACGGAAAATTCAATGATATAAATGATTTCATTGGATTTATAAAAAAAGACAAGATCAGGTTTGTTGGCCTGGGTACGTCTGAGGCTGTATACGGGCCAAATCCAAAGAATTTTGTTTTTATAATTGTCCATGACACCCTCTACATATTTTGGGTCGTACCATGGATGGAAGTCTGTGTCAAAACCACAAGCAGAGCGAAGACGTTAATAAGGTGATCGAGCCACTGTTTCATGTCGCTTAAGATACCGTGCTTGTGCCAAAGCTGGGCATCCACTAACAAAATGTTGGACAGTCTCTTTAAATTCATTGCATAATCGACTTTTCGTATTTACATTGTGATTCAATGTCACACATTGACGGTTTCGAGTGGGGAGTGACTTGTTTTGAGGCTATCCGATTTCATCCAAAGCGAAGGACTCTGCAGGGTTGCTGACTTCTCAACACACTGCACATAAACTCTACGCAGTGTCGTTCAGATAGATTCTCCTTGAAAAACTGAGTCTGGGCCGATTTGATATGACACTTCGCTTGGTTGAGACTCATTTCTGTACCGTCCAGCAGTACAGAACCATCAACAATCATCATTTACACTAAGATTATGTCCCACATCCTTGGCTCGTTTAAGAAAACTGTGGAATGCCTTGTTTTCATAATGAGTCTTGACATGCTTCACAAGAGGATCATCAGACATTTATTGTGTGCAAGAGTGCACAGAATAATTCTATAATGAAGAACCCCAACGTTAATCAAACCACGCCAATCACAATGATTGGTAAATATAAACGATTGAGGGAAGAGCGAGGGTGGTGGGATCGATTGTCTAACATGATTCTTCGTGTGAGGGTGTCAATTCCCTGAATTTCTTTTTCCAAAAAGAATATGAAAGGACGGGTACAGAATAAGTATTTGTGGCTTTAGCGTTATTGCAAGCTTTCGGATCTTTCCAGATTTTCTTAAGTATACATTTGTATTCTGCCTGGTTTTCCCTTGATGTGTACATTCTGGAGTTTGTCCGGATCCGATCCCTAACCTACGTCCCTAAGTACGTGTAGACCTGATACTCCTACCCCAAATAAACCGAGTGATCCTCCCTCTTCTACCTTGCCACGTTTCAGATGGAAACTTTTGCATTTGTCGAGCCCAAAGGACATGCCGATATCACTAGAAAAAAACTCGACAATGGGAATCTGTTTTTAATAATTTTAGTTTAGTTCAAGGTCACCCTTGTAAAGGAGGTTGTTGATGGGTGTTGGGGATCTGTGCTAAAGGAAATCCAGGATGATAACCTTCCTCTTTGCTGAGCAAAAAGCTTAAAGCATTTAGCGACAAACAAAAAAAAGGATTACAAGAATCGCCCTGAAATCGGGTATTATAAAACACAACAATGGTGACTTATTTTGTTATGTACATCTTTATTGTACTCCTCTACCCATGGTTTCTCGAGGTTGCAGTTGCCGGGTAAAGACCACAACTGCTTCAAAAACCCTTCACTGGAATCCAAAGTTGGTCTTTTCTCATCACCGCCATTGATTGCATTTAGTTGCCTGTAAAACTGTTTTTCATTAGCTTTGAACTGTTTATTTTGTTTTATGAAATTATTTTTCTTGTTCCACTTTCTATTTCTTTGTATTCAAATCCTTTTCAGAGAATCAAGAATTTGATTTAGAATTTTCTCTTTTGTTGCATTTGTTTTCAAATTGGTATTTGGCGTTTTGGCATTGAATATCCCGAGGAACGTAATTTCAAGCAAAGTTCTATCGAGGATATATCTTTCTTTGTTTCATTTAGTTGTATTTGGAACTGGCTTTTCTTTTTGATGATTTTGTTTATTACCTTTTTGTGGTTATTGTCTTTGAAAACTGTAGTGTTCGAGCAGCAGCATGCACGTAACAGTTAATGTCATGCAAAGAACAGTCCTCAGAAAGAGTGACTGTAATAATGTCATTTAATTTATCAAGTTGATTATGTGGAAATGATTTGTTACTTTGTTCAGCTGGCCTCCGTTTCTCAATCGGTAAATCACAGATTTGATCCTAGAATGACAAAATATACAAGCAGTCATCAGAAAGATTATTGCCAGAAGAGAGGTCAGAATCGGGAGAAAACTTAAAATCTTCAAGGGCACCATCAGGAATTTTATTTTGTGAGCCCATGTGTGGGTCATCAGTGACGACTGTATCAAGTAATTTAGGAAGAGTAATGCGAACGTTCATTTGCAATTTCGGGTCTCCTGCTGTTGGAAATAAGGGTTTATGCAAAGGCAGGTGTTGTTAGTTAGCTCACCAGGTTCACGGCGAATATAGAAATTCAGACGCCGGAGCTGATCCCGGGTGTTTTGTTCTGTCAGGTATGCATACATTGGCATGGCCTTGTCCCAATGCTACTTCAATTTGCCATTTACTCGTGGTATTTCCGTCCACCATGTTGCTTTCGCAAGTGTGGACGTCACTTGCTGCGTCCAAGATATTCTTAGATGGGTTCTTAACATTTACTTACATATTTGATGTCCCAATTGCATGGATCGATGCTCATGATGTCAATCACTGGATTGTCTGGTCAAGACTCGACTATTTACAGACCGACGTCATATAGCTAGAATATGACTGAGTGCGGCAAACAAACAAAAAACATATTTGTTGGAGTTTATTTCCCAAAGATGCCTTAACCAATGCGGTATTGTTATTTGGTTCAGAATATATCACTAGTGATATATATAGCTTCTGAAATTGAGAAAATAATTTCTTAGCATGTAACATTATTCAGGTTTAAACATTACTTCTCCTAACCAAGTTCTTCGTGGAGAGTCTGGTACATATCCCAAGAATATAGTTGGCTATAAGCGTCGTATAACATATTTGGCATAAACCTTTATGTGGGCCCGTTGCCCGTGTTTCACGAAAATCTTTTTCTATTGGAAGCCAGTAATGTCAAGAGAAATTGGGTATCAAAATTTAAGTTTCTATTATGTTCAGATTAAAATCTATGAATGAACATGACTGGCATAATGCACTTGGCTAAAAAACATAGCAAAGTTTTTATTAAAGACATGATTTTGTGAAGAAACATGTATCATTTCTGTTTCTGTCAATACATCTAGGACTGCTTTGACCCGATTTAGATGCAGTTCGTATCACTTAAATATAGACACTGGTTGATTTGTTAACACACCAAGAGAAGAAAAAAGATTTTGTGAAGTGTGTTCTTATGGCTATATAGAAACTGAATATCATTTTTTACTCTCATGTGTATTCAATGCATATGATGATTTGAGAAGAAAGTATATACCCAAGAAACAATATACATATCCTTCTCTACATACATTTAACATGCTTATGTCTGCTTCTAATGTAGATTGTTAAAAGCATTGCTATGTACATCTATTATGCTATACTGTGTTTATCCTCCGGGATAGACCGCCTCCGTGGTCTAGTGGTAGAGCGTCCGCCCGGAGAGCGGAAGGTCCGGGTTTCGATCCGGGTTTCGTCATACCAAAAGACGTTTAAAGATGGAACTTGTTGTCACCTGTCTGGCGCTCGGCATTAAAGGGCTAAAACAAGGACTGGTCGGCTCGGAGTCAGTATACTGTGTCTGAGTGGGGTATTCATGATAAACTGCGGCATGGTATCTCAGTGAGCTAGCACTAAAAATCGGCATCAGTCCGGACTAGTACAAGCAGCCACACAAACACACACACGTACATCCACGTCGCTATATAAGTGCAATAATCTTGGACGCGACGTTAAACCCAATTTCACCTCACCACCTCCTCCGGTATACACTATATTTATGTTCCAACAATATTTACATACACAGATGGCTGAAGAAATATAATTATTATGTTTTTAACTCTGTTGCTGTTGGTTGGTGGCGGTTGTGACAGTTATACGTATCATGGGCCTATAGCCTACATCTACACTGAATAAAAAAACAATCTATAGATCCCGTTACGTGTGGGCTGGCAAGATAGTAGTTCATAAATTGAGGAACGCGATTAATTCGGAACTAACATCTCGTATGCTCTTTCAATAATGAAACCATGGGATGATCATTGTTAACGTAAGCAGAGATACGTAACTGAGGAAACTAAGGTTTTGTGTTAAAAATATCCTCGAAATGACAGAGCGAACCGCCCTGACCACAGCTGAGACTGACTGGTCGCGCAGCTACACTGAAGTAGAAAGCCCAGGCTTGTGTTGAGGACGGAAATACCCATGACGCTCTGTGGATTAATCTGGCTCTCACTGTCAGAGGTATCTAGGTGACAGGCTTAACTTGAACATTGTAAATTAGGTTGTAATAAAATAAGCTTTACTGAAGACCAGTTTGTTAAACAAACCGAATAAGTTGCAGGTTTTAGTTGACTCATTCTGCGCTCATTCTGTGGAGAGGGATTGCGCGTTATTAGGTAAGTTATAATTAAACATGGATGGAATTGAATAAGACATATGCAAATTAAAGCATTTTGCTGATGTTAACTTGTTTCTATTGAACCTGGAGTTAAGACTATTCCAAAATATGTCATTTTGAAATATATTTTAGTTTTGAAGCATTTGGTGGCAATGATAATGTGAGTTGGTTTTAGATACCTATTGATTTGTTATACACAGCTTGAGGTTCGACATCAAGTGGCATTAAGAAGTGTCTATCTTCTTGTAATGAATACTTTTTGTACATGATATTGTGTCTAAATATACGGATAGAATATATAAATGTCAAGACGAATAATACAATTATGTCAAGACAATTTAGTGTGCTTTTATTAAGGGTCGACTGAGGTTGTGAATTTACTCTGAACTCATTTTAACGGGGGAGCGGTGAATGAATAAATATCCTCGGATAGGTAATACCCAGTCCTTTATGCATTTATGCTTATAAAAGAGTTGTTAAATATTGGTGCAAAATTTTGAAAATGTCTTAATCTAGATATGTAAAGAAATGCTATAATATGCAACTGCAAGCTGTAGGTAATGGTAAAGTAAACTGGGTTTCCAAAATTAGACACATAATTGTGTCAGCAGGATTTGGTTTTATATGGGATCAACCGTGTGTTGCAAATATACCTTTGTTTATAAAGGATTTTTTTGTGAGGCTAAAATTATCGTACCAACAAGATTGGCATTCAGCTATACATGAAAGTTCGAAATCATATTATTATTCTTTGTATAAGCAAACATTTGGTGTTGAAATGTATATTACAAGGCTATCATGTGATAAGTTTAGAAGTATTATGGCTCGTTTCAGATGTAGTTCTCATCATCTAAGAATTGAATCAGGTAGACATAATAAGGAACCTAGAGAAGAAAGAGTTTGTACTGTTTGTAAACAGGGTTATATCGAAGATGAGTATCACTTTATTTTAATTTGTGATTGTTATCAAGCTTTGAGGTCAGAATATATATCCTTGAATTATTATGAGTTCCCGACAAGACATAAGTACAATATTCTAATGCCATCAAATACCCATTTACTGTTAAGAAACTAGCCATGTATATTCTAAAAGCTATGAATCTAAGACAAAGTCTGTTGGGATCTCCAACTCCCATCACCACACTGTAACCATTGTATCTAAGCCTATGGCCAACGATACATCTGAATAAAGTGTATGTAATACCCAGTTGTAACCTAGCTGTCACGTCAAGTTGTAGCCTAGCTGTCACTTCCAGATGTAGCCTAGCTGTCACGTCAAGTTGTAGCCTAGCTGTCACGTCAAGTTGTAACCTAGATGTCACGTCAAGTTGTAGCCTAGCTGTCACTTCCAGATGTAGCCTAGCTGTCACGTCAAGTTGTAGCCTAGCTGTCACGTCAAGTTGTAACCTAGATGTCACGTCAAGTTGTAGCCTAGCTGTCACCACTATCTCTATCCTAGCTGTCACTCCCAGTTGTAAACTAGCCGTCACGTCAAATTGTAGCCTAGCTGTCATTTCCAGATGTAGTCTAGCTGTCACCACTATCTCTATCCTAGCTGTCACTCCAAGTTGTTACCTAGCCGTCACATCAAATTGTAGCCTAGCTGTCACTTCCAGATGTAGTCTAGCTGTCACTTCCAGATGTAGTCTAGCTGTCACCACCATCTCTAGCCAAGCTGTCACTTCCAGATGTAGCCTAGCTGTCACTTCCAGATGTAGTCTTGCTGTCACCACTATCTCTAGCCAAGGTGTCACTGCCAGATGTAGTTTAGCTGTCACTTCCAGATGTAGTCTGTCTGTCACCACTATCTCTATCCTAGCTGTCACTCCAAGTTGTAACCTGGCTGTCACTTCCATTTGTAGCCTAGCTGTCACTTCTAGATGCAGTCTAGCTGTCGCCACTATCTCTAGCCTAGCTGTCACTCCAAGTTGTAATCTAGCTGTCACTTCCAGAAGTCGTCTAGCTGCCACTTCCAGATGTCGTCTAGCTGTCGCCACCATATCCAGCCAAGCTATCACTCATAGATGTAGCCTAACCGTCACGCCAAGCTGTAACCTAGCATATCACTCCCAGTTGTAGCCTAGCTCTTACTCCCAGTTGTAGCCTAGCTGTCACGCCAAGCTGCAACGTACCTGTCACTCCCAGTTGTAGCCTACTTTTCACTCCCAGTTGTAGCCTAACTGTCACTCCCAGTTGTAGCCTAGCTGTCACTTCCAGTTGTAGCCTTGCTGTCACTCCCAGTTGTAGCCTTGCTGTCACTCCCAGTTGTAGCTTAGCCGTCACTCCCAGTTGTAGCCGAACTGTCACTCCCAGTTGTAGCCTTGCTGTCACTCCCAGTTGTAGCCTAGCCGTCACCTCCAGTTGTAGCCTAGCTGTTACTCCCAGTTGTAGCCTAGCTGTCATTTCCAGTTGTAGCCTTGCTTTCACTCCCAGTTGTAGCCTAGCCGTCACGCCAAGCAGTTACCTAGTTGTCACTCCCATTTGTAGCCTACTTGTCACTCCCAGTTGTAGCTTTGCCGTCACTCCCAGTAGTAGCCTAGCTGTCACTCCAAGTAGTAGCCTAGCTGGCACTTCCAGTTGTAGCCAAGCTGTCACTCCCAGTTGTAGCCTTGCTGTCACTCCCAGTTGTAGCCTAGCCGTCACCTCCAGTTGTAGCCTAGCTGTTACTCCCAGTTGTAGCCTAACTGTCATTTCCAGTTGTAGCCTAGCTGTCACTCCCAGTTGTAGCCTAGCTTGCACTTCCAGTTGTAGCTTAGCCGTCACTCCCAGTTGTAGCCTTGCTGTCACTCCCAGTTGTAGCCTAGCCGTCACCTCCAGTTGTAGCCTAGCTGTCACGCCAAGCAGTAACCTAGTTGTCACTCCCAGTTGTAGCCAAGCTGTCACTCCAAGTTATAACCTAGCTGTCACTCCCAGTTGTAGGTTAGCCGTCACCTCCAGTTGTAGCCTAGCTGTTACTCCCAGTTGTAGCCTAGCTGGCACTTCCAGTTGTAGTCTTGCTGTCACTCCCAGTTGTTTGTAACCTAGTTGTCACTCCCAGTTGTAGCTTAGCCGTCACCTCCAGTTGTAGCCTAGCTGTTACTCCCAGTTGTAGCCTAGCTGGCACTTCCAGTTGTAGTCTTGCTGTCACTCCCAGTTGTTTGTAGCTTAGCCGTCACTCCCAGTTGTAGCCTTGCTGTCACTCCCAGTTGTAGCCTAGCCATCACCTCCAGTTGTAGCCTAGCTGTCACGCCAAGCAGTAACCTAGTTGTCACTCCCATTTGTAGCCTACTTGTCACTCCCAGTTTTAGCCTAGCTGTCACTCCCAGTTGTAGCCTAGTTGTCACTTCCAGTTGTAGCCTAGCTGTCACTCCCAGTTGTAGCCTAGCTGTCACGTCCAGTTGTAGCCTAGTTGTCACTCCCAGTTATAACCTAGCTTTCACTCCCAGTTGTAGTCTTGCTGTCACTCCCAGTTGTTTGTAGCCTAGTTGTCACTCCCAGTTATAACCTAGCTGTCACTCCCAGTTGTAGCTTAGCCGTCACCTCCAGTTGTAGCCTAGCTGTTACTCCCAGTTGCAGCCTAGCTGGCACTTCCAGTTGTAGTCTTGCTGTCACTCCCAGTTGTTTGTAGCCTAGCTGTCACTCCCAGTTGTAGCCTAGCTGTCACTCCCAGTTGTAGCCTAGCTGTCACGCCAAGCTGTAGCCTAGCTGTCCTTCCCAGTTGTAGCCTAGCTGTCATTTCCAGTTGTAGCCTTGCTTTCACTTCCAGTTGTAGCCTAGCCGTCACGCCAAGCAGTAACCTAGTTGTCACTCCCATTTGTAGCCTACTTGTCACTCCCAGTTTTAGCCTAGCTGTTACTCCCAGTTGTAGCCTAGCTGTCATTTCTAGTTGTAGCCCAGCTGTCACTCCAAGTTGTAGCCTAGCCGTCACGCCAAGCAGTAACCTATTTGTCACTCCCAGTTGTAGTCTAGCTGTCACTTCCAGATGTAGTCTAGCCGTCACTTCCCGATGTAGTCTAGCTGTCACTTCCCGATGTAGTCTAGCTGTCACTTCCAGATGTAGTCTAGCTGTCACTTCCCGATGTAGTCTAGCTGACACTTCCCAATGTAGTCTAGCTGTCACTTCCCGATGTAGTCTAGCTGTCACTTCCCGATGTAGTCTAGCTGTCACCACTTGTACTATCAGTACCGTAGCTGTCACTTCCCGATGTAGTCTAGCTGTCACTTCCAGATGTAGTCTAGCTGTCACTTCCCGATGTAGTCTAGCTGTCACTTCCGAATGTAGTCTAGCTGTCACTTCCCGATGTAGTCTAGCTGTCACCACTTGTACTATCAGTAGCGTAGCTGTCACTCAAGATGTAGTCTAGCTGTCACTTCCCAATGTAGTCTAGCTGTCACTTCCCGATGTAGTCTAGCTGTCACTCCAGATGTAGTCCAGCCGTCACTTCCCGATGTAGTCTAGCTGTCACTTCCCAATGTAGTCTAGCTGTCACCACTTGTACTATCAGTAGCGTAGCTGTCACTTCCCGATGTAGTCTAGCTGTCACTTCCCGATGTAGTCTAGCTGTCACTTCCAGATGTAGTCTAGCTGTCACTTCCCGATGTAGTCTAGCTGTCACTTCCAGATGTAGTCTAGCTGTCACCACTTGTATTACCAGTAGCGTAGCTGTCACTCCCAGTTGGAGTCTAGCTGTTGTTACTCCCAGCTGTGGCCTAGTCGTCACTCCCAGTTGCAGCCTAGCTATCACCACTACCTGTAGCCTAGCTGTCACCTCCGGTTGTAGCTAATAATTAGCTGTTACATCTAGTTGTATCCTAGCTGTCATACAAAGTCTGTGGTTACTACTACTTTGTCTCACTACTGGTATGCCGATTTTACTTTGCACTTACCCTGTGAAATTAAAATATTTATTTACGGTCACATGAGAGCTTAAAACGTACATCGTAATGTTTAAGTCTACAAAACAAAAAACTGCATGTTGTTAACCACTTTCTTTTTGGCACCAGCCATCGTGGACGTACATCATGGCACTTTCTGACAAGGGAAAGATGAAACCCGCTGACGAGAAGTGTATGAAAGTCTACGTTATGGAAATAGAGGATGTGGTGGAAGCGAGAGACCTAACAGCCAAACTGTTTTCTGAAAATATTATAGACAGAGAAGACAGAGAAATAATAGACTCCGGGGAGACAAGGAAGGAGAGGACCAGACGACTCCTTGACACTATTGTCATGAGGGGAGAAAGGTCCTTTCCTGTCTTCGTACAAGCATTACAGTCAAGAGGGTATAGGGATCTGGCAATGAAGTTGCATGAAACAAGATACATTTATCACAATGACGATTCAGAAGACCTGAAGGAGGGTTTGTCCAAACAAATGGAATTACTTATACAGAGAATCGATACCATTGAAAGTGAAGTAAAGATGAGAATGGTTACCAGGAACGAAACTGTGAGTCTTTCTATCGAAATCAAATCCCTTTCGCTAAAAATGCAAACAATCTCATGTACGCTTCTTCAGATCGAAGAACTGTCCAGATCAAGCAAAATAACAGAAGTAACAATATCTGACCTGAAAGACAAGCTAAAGGCGAAGGATATACTGTTAGAACTTGCAAGGGGGCAGCTTGTAGAGTTGGAGAGTAAACTGGAAACTCTCGAAGCTGAGAACGCCCTTTTACGATCTGATGTGAAGCGACAAGACAGACAAATCCGTACTCTTCGACGAGCGATTGAGGACGAAAAGCTCCGCAATGAGAAAATGCAGAGACAAGCAGAAGAGGACAGAAAGAAGAATGAGACGACGTTTCACAGGCATGAGAAGTTGTTTGAAGAGATGGCGAAGCAGCAGGATCTCATCACCAAACAGCGGGAGGAGGACAAGGCGCAGGTGCAGGCATTGGAACGCAAGCTGGACCAACAGAGGAGGCAAAAGAGGAATCTTAGGAAACGAAACTTTGTTCCCAGGAACCGGATGGAGGATGACAGGAAATAGAGAGTTTTTGCCGGCACGTGACTCATGAGGTGTTAACACTATAGCAAACCGTAGAATAGGATGCATTTTGTGTGCTGTTGTTATTAGAAGTAGTCCTGCTGAAGATGAGCCTTGGCGATTCGTGTACCGTTAGCACGGGTGTTGTCCTAATAAACGTTGACCCACACGCCTTCCAAACGTAGGGGTGTCAGTATGTTGTCGATTTGTAAACGATTTCTAATCGTCCGACCCGTCACTCGTACTCCAGTAACCTGATAAAAGTTTACAACAATTTGATCCGCCGTTTGAACGCGATTTCCTCGAGCGTGGTTTCAGATCAATCGATCTTGTACACTTGTCTTTGACCTGGGTCGATCGACATTTTGGGTTTGTTGCTACTTGTTTGAACGTATTGGCCAAACAATGAATGAAATCATGTAAATCTAAACTTATGATGAGCAGAATCAATAAGATTGACAGAAATAATTGTCCACGGAGTTTAATCGACGGTCCTTGAAAGCGTCAAAATCAGAATAACACTACACGCCCGTGTATGAGGCTACTGCGTGAGGCAAGTGTAAACTATAGGATGTGTTTTGGTGTTAAGTTTTACTGACATAAAACGTCGTTGCAAAGGATGTTTGTCGTCAACACATATCTTTGTTCTAAAGCTTGGTATTAACATTTATAGTTCACGATCCCCTACTTTTTTAAGACTATATGTATTTTTAATGTAACATGTGATACTTTCAAGACATATATGATTTTTTTGTTTTTGTATGATACTTAGAGTGAAAATGTTTTTTTCCACGACGATTTGACGATTTGTACATTCGGTATAAGAATTCCCATTCTAACCTGACAATGGGAGACAACACTTTACAGTAATTAGCGCTGATAGCTATAGACAACTGGAAGTTATTGCTTTGATCTTTGTCGGTGCCAATTATCTAGCTGGCCTCCATTTGCCCTTTGCCATTTGCTTATTCTATTCTTTTTCCTATCAGTGCGGTTATCTCCCAAAACCCCTACATCCGATTTCCCCTACAACCCAGTTCCCCTACAATTAGTTAAAACAACACGCAGCATTTACCTGTCATTTGTGGAGATAGTCAGGAAGGTGGAACAGACAGAACGAGCTAAGATTTTACAGCTCGACTTTGGAGCAGCGCCAAGAGACAGGACGAGAGTGTACAGTGAGGTGGAGAACCGTCTCTGCCGCCTGAAGGACGAGTTGAATAGAGAGGTGAAATCCCCAATGCAGTTTCTAGATGCGGTTGACCATCTCCTCAGGCTGGGATAAAGAGTGAATTGAACATTTGAGATGAAATTTATTATAATGTATTATGAATTTTGAAAAATGAACATTTTATTATAATGTATTATGAATTTTGAAAAATGAACATTATATTATAATGTATTATGAATTTTCAATAATATCGTAATCGTAATTAAATATTTATCTCAATCTATTCGTGTTTCTTGGGTTGTTCCATTGTATAAAATAGGTAACACACTAGGGATTAGCAGTGCCACGGACCGTGAACTTTGTTGTCTTAAGCTGTAGGGGAAATGGAGTGTTGGGGTTTTGGGAGGTTACCATCAGTGCTAATTACTCCCGGCCTCCCGCTTGCCCATTGTTCCATTGCCAACTACCAATCAGTGATAATTAAGTCCTGGCTTCCATTTGTCCATAACTATCAGCGCTAATTACTGTAAAGTGGTGGCTTCCATTGTCTATTGCTAATCACCTATCTGTTGGCTTCCCTTGTTAAGTTTCTACTTTTTGTAATCTTATTGTTGTTGATGTCCTTACATCTACATATATATGCTGTCTGGTTCATAGTATTCATTCACACCACATAAGCAAACTAACAAACTTCCATACTCAGGTCCCTTAGTTCGTCCCCCAAACCCTCTTGGCATTTTTTCAAAATTTCAAAATTTCCAAAATTCTATTTAAGCAACCACTAAAACACCCCTACTGGACTGCCAAACAACTTTTTCCCCTTTTCGGAAACACATTAAATGGCTTTGCCGGGCCCGTGTGCGAAATACGCTGCAGTCGGAAAGCGCACGTGAAATCTCCAATATAAGTAAGTAAGTAGTATTCATTCACCTGATGAAGGAGTAAGCATATTCACCGAAACATTGTGTTCCTCATAATAAAGAAGTTGACATCCATACATTCTTCCCTTATTTGTATCACTTCAAAATGCCTTTCAAAGACTTGAACCTATGCTTGTTTTCCTAAAACTAAAATACTGTTCAAAACAGCGTCAAACTCGACTCACTCACTCGTTGTCGAAAGTGGCCACTCAATGGATCGTTGGTGTTGCTTGCTTCATTGCATGCCATGTGACCCTACGGCTCACATCTACCACGGGGGTGAGGGGTTGGGGTTTGGGGTTGCCGGTTAAAGCGTTCTCGACATGGGTGCAATGTGTTAAGCCCATTTGTTGTGTCCCCCGCCGTGATTGCTGGATTATTGCTAAAAGCGGCGTAAAATCTTACTCACTCACTCTACCACGAGCTTGCCTGGATTATCTACACGTCACGGTTGCATAGCTGGTGTAGTGCAAACTGCAGCGCGCAACGGGAATCAACCAGACATACTAAAACTATGGTAATAACGACTGATAACGTTTACCAGTATTGCTCTTTTGCCCCACTATACTTTCAAAAATCGATAAGTTATTAAGAAATGTGCGTGATTCAAGACCAGGGTTTGCCCAGTATAACAGCTTTTACTCGCTGGATAATGAGCAGATCTACCCGAGGAACAGAGATAAGCTTTGCCTCTGTATTGATGGAGTAACGGGTAACGTTGTGTTCTGATACGTTGATCGTCTATGAAGCGTTTACACTCTAAACACATATTTCAATACTAACCGATACTGTTGCTGATTTGTACTTGAACATACCTTGATGACTTGTAGATAAGGTCGATGCAGCTTAATTGCCATGTGTATTATCACAAGTTCATCGCCAGTCCGCATCTTTCATGGATGATGTTGACATTAATACCATAAGGCATCTTGTCAGCTCTGTATGCTTGGCAACATCAATAATAACATCACTAGAACGTTTGTATTCGGTGCTTGAAAAAGTGTCTTCAGACAATCTTATCGTGCCTTCGGGAAATGTGTACTGCACTCACATGGTGTTCTCAACTAATCAATACAAACTATTTTTATTTTGACGACGTTTGTCCAAACAGTACAAAGACAAGACACGGATCTAATAGACAGGTTTTTATAATAACGGCCTTACCATCAGGAACCACTACGTAGAAATACAGTCTCGAATTCAACTTGTCTCAAATCATCCCAATGGAAACATTTCCAGTTGTCTTTCATCTGCTGGTTGTCATTGTGTTTCCAAAGAAGTCAGTCCAGCTGCTAATAGGTAAGTTGGAACTTTGGTAGACAGTGACTAAACGTCGGGGATAGCTGGGTCAACTTGTAGTGGTTGTGACGCAGATGAGAACAAAAATGATGAGAGCGATATGAGAGAGAAAACGGCTTTGGTTATTAAGTAATAGGCTTTGTTAAGCCGTACGTATGCTAACATGTATGCACGTTCAAGGTTTTGGGCTTTTATGTTTCGAAACAAGGGTTGGGAAGTTGAGCTTTCGAGGTTTCCATCTTTTTCTTAATTAATACAGAGGGTAAGACGTAAGAGCTGCTGGTAATGTCTGAGTTACATATCCACCGATGCCGCGAAAGATTAGTTTACGATGCCTGAAAAGGCTGAAAATCGGTAAAATTGAGAGATACCCTACGGAGCGCCGGACGTTCATCTGTGAGCATTGGCCATGTTTTTGACATCGGGAAGACCCCGGTGGACACATCGGAAGAAATTAACTCGGAGTTATTTTCTTGCGGCGACCGGTGGTCCACGCCCCCATCGGTAATGGATCTGTGACACATCTTCCGGCAGTCCACCAGTGACCCTCCAGGCACCTGCCAGACCGCGAGGGAATCGGACGAATCTTGCAGTGAGCGGGTGTAGTATGGTCATCCTAGGATAGCCGAATGATAATCTGCCGGGAATCGGTCAATGCTCGGAATGTTCCTCTCCGGTGACCGGACGATTAAGCCAAGTCGTAAGGTGACCAACCGGAGTCCGGGCAAGCATCGAGCAGGCGCCGAGCGGGTATCATTCGTCAGATACCGGACATGATGACGTGCCTGTTACGGAATGTATACTACTCAAAAGAAGTTAGGGATCACCTGATTCTTTCATATTACAATAGTTAATCTCTCATTCCATGACAGATTAACATTACCAATATGAAAGAATCGGGTGATCCTTAACTTCTTTTGAGTAGTATATATAATGGGCTGAATGGGATGAGCAGCATAGAATGTATCCAGGATGCCTGTCCCTCCACACACACTGAGACTGGCCTGGCTCAGTATGCAGTACGCTGGAGCCCGAGGCTCCCTTTGCCTTTCCACTCTTCATCTCCGAAGTTTCAGACTCCACAAGTTTACAAAATCAACTGAAAGGCGATACAGTTCTTGCAGCAATTTCGACGGCGAACACGAACTATGATCGGCCGAGCACTGAGCGGGTTCCTTTTATAGCGGGCAGGAAACGGGGGGTGTTCATCCAGGCATCGGCCGCACGATTTGGTTTACATCGGACGGGCACCGTCCGGGTATCGGGAGATTACCGGCCGATTCCCGCCAGATGACCGGTCAGTCACTGGACGGTATAAGCCTTCCATGTTTTCCAAAATCCTTCGGACACCCTCCAGCCACCGGCCGATGGCTGGAGGGGTATCTACCGATCATCTTTGTTTTCATGACTACTGCACCGATGTGTCAAAGATGTGTGCAAAAAATCTATGACATCGTCCAGCGGCCGTGTATATGTGACTGAGGCATTAGCTTTCGAACATTCTGTCTTTCAAATTCTAAGACGGACATTTGAGTTGTCAAGTGATACTCGAACCAGAAGGCCATTAACGTTTATTTCAGGTTTGACACCATTATAATGTGATATAAATCCGACTGTTTGAAATTATCTACTAACCAGGTCAGTCATCATGCTGGAATATCACGAACCAGACCGTACCAGATCGGCCATATTTGACGTCCACCATTGCAGGAATACTGCATGACTTACAATGGTCAACAGTTGTTTACCTTCATGACGGAGAAGCCGGTAAATAACCAACATGTTCATCTTATGGGCAGCTGTAGTCATGAAATATCATTAAATATCCATGAAACGCAGAAAGCAAATTTAAAGTCAGTTCGATTGAACTTTGTTGTAACGTGTGTGTAAATTTCATTTAAATTACGTCAGACACATTAGGTGAACTTTGTAATCAGCAAATCTGCTTAAAAATTAATGAATTCTCAGGGACGAACCTGCGAAAGATTCGGAGCAACAAATCTCACGTGAGTGAGTGAGTATGGTTTTACGCCGCTTTTAGCAAAATCCTAGCAATATCAAGGCGGGGGACACCAGAAATGGGCTTCACACATTGTACCCATGTTGGGAATCGAACCCGGGTTTTCCGCGTGACGAGCGAACGCTTTAACCAATAGGCTACCCGACCGTCCCAAATCTCACGTGAGCGGACAGTTCCTAATGTAGAATAATAACAGCCACACTATTGTGTGCTATTTCACCCCTGTCGTTTCTGTCGCCCCCACAACACCTACACCAATAAGAATGTACTGTCGAGAGAATATTTGTGATTTGTACAGAAAAGATTTGGCCAAGATATGAAGACGAGGCGTTTTGGGAAAGTGACATCTGATTGGCTCAAGAACCCACACAAACTTCGTTTTGATTGGGCGTTCAATATTCGCTCAGGGTTCACCTGGTGTAACCTATAGGGGTTTGTCAGATCGTCACGGATGGAGAAATCGTATCAGAGTAAAAGATCTAGTATAATCAGCTTTGAATACCACTTTTATAGAAATCCGCAGATTGGCCCTCTAACTAAGCCTCTGTAGGTTGGATGATTTAACTGAACAGCCCAGATTTAGCCCCCAGTGACTATTTCCTGTTCCGGCAAATGAAATCTGCCCTATTGGAAGACGCTTCCAGGATGACGAGGACATAAAGGCTGCCACAGAGGTTAGGTTAGAGGGCCAATCTGCGGATTTCTATAAAAGTGGTATTAAAAGCTTGAAGGACAAGTGGAATAAGTGTATTGAGGTGAATGGAGATTATATTGAAAAATAAAAGTGCAACAGATATTCTGCGACTTTGTCTTATATTGAAGTTGCAAAACTTATTGAACGCCCCCATAGGCAATAAGCTAAAGAATCTTTGTCTCTGAGTTGAAAGACAGGAATGTGTGCAGCCAGGTGTTACCTCACACGGTCACAAATCCTACTTCAATAGATCAGTACAATTTGATAGTCACTATTTTTCACTGTCTGATTGTTCACGGCACAGTCCCG